TTTTTTTTTTTTTTTAAATCTCACACCGCTGTGCCGCAGCGCGCGCGGGGAAGTTCCCTTTTTCCCTGGGTATCGAATAATCGCAGAATGTTCTGTTCTTACCTTTGACGTCCAACTCCGAACTCCCGCGGATCAATGGCCGCAAAGTTGGCGGAATTGGGAATTTGGGACTTCGACACTTCTGGAAAAAAAATGCCAACGGTTTAGCCAGGATCTCCCCGTCTGATTCGTTACTATTATTATATCTGATGATGTGGATGGATGGAGGGACTCAATCCAAGCCCATTAATGAGCGATTTTATAAACGCCGCCGTCGGAGGATCTCCATTCACACGGCGTCAGGGATCTCTCCCAGCAGCAGAGCCGTGCGGATCCCGGGACTTCAGCACAGCTCCGATCAGAGCACGCCGCCTCGTCAATCCATTAATGTTTTATAGCGTGTAAATATTTCATAAAGTTTTTAGGAAAACTATCGATTCTAAATTATTAAACTAGTCAGAAGGGCGTTTGAATAATGCATACGATTAAATACACTTAAATATATATGTGGCAATCGCTTTATTTGCAACGAACCCTCGGCACCTTTACACGGCCTTTGGTTTTTGCCCGCTTTGCCACGCGCTCGCAGGGTCCCGCAGTGCCGGCACGTCCGCGGTGTGTCCGTGCTGTTACACGCCGGGCGGCCCTGCGAAATGCTCCTTTAACTTTGCGGCCGGCAGCCGTAAGCGTCTGAAAACGCGGACGCGGAAGCGAAGGTTTTGTTATTGAACCGGCGAGGACCCGAACCGAGCGCTGTGTCCCGGCTTCGTTAACGTTAATTCAGAAAGATTTTAGAATACGAGGTGTTTGCTTTCTTTGATAAGTTTTCCCCAATAATAAGTTTTTCCCAATAATTTTTTTTCTTTCTGTTTAAATTACAAATGTTTTTTTTTTCCTCCTGCATATGACTTTCACGTTGCCATTATTTTCCCCGCAAAAACAAAACAAAACAAAAAACCCGAAAACTAAAAGCAAAAAAAAAAAAAAA